CTGAGCAGTCTGTTCAGTCACTTCTAGGCCGAAATGCTTGAAAAATAAACTCCGTTTTTCTTTTTACTGGGGTCAATCTATACCGTAAAGAAGCCTTAGTTTCCAGAGTGAAACGCCGCTCAGCTGTGAAATGGCCCGTCCCTCACCCAGCTAGCGGCCGAGTGCCATCCGCGGGGCTGTGGGGAGACAGGAGGCAGGGAGACAGAGGGCTGGTGGGTGGCTTGGCTCCTGTCGGCAGCAGTGCACTTGCTCTGTGCCGTGGCCCCTGCTGGCAGACAGGCAAGCAGCCGCCTCTCCAGCCCGTGTGGGCTGCCGGCCTGCCCAGCGCCTCCTCCGCTCTCCAGGCACCTTCCCCCCCGCCGCCCCAGCCCCTTCCCTGCCCTGCTTCAGCTGAGCCAGCCAAGGGAGGGTGGAGAAACTCTGGTACAAGCATAGCTGCTACAAGAACCACTGAGGCTCGTGTCCTGACCCTCTGGTCCCAAGCGGAGGGGACAGCCTGACGCCTGGAGCTGGGGTTGTCCGGCTGGCTGCTTAGCCCTCAGGACTCCGTCCCCTCCTGTAAAGTGGCAGTAATTATAGCGGTGCTCCTCGGGGTTCTCTGAGGACTAAACGAGCTGGCACACCTGGATGTCGGGTGCGCGGGACGGCCAGCAGACCCAGGTTTCTGCCACACGATGTGACCCTCACAAAGACCAGACCCCACGTACATCCGAAGTGCTGGGATCCCCGTCCAGCCTGCTGTCCATCTACCATTGGGCACCTCAGCGCCCTCCTCCCAGCCTGCCTTCTTGTCACATCCTGGCTTCCTGTGTCTGTGGACCTGACCCCCCGCCCCCTGCATGGGCTGACCATGCCCCGAGGCCATGTGTTCTGAATCAGGGTTGGGGTGCAGGAAGACAGCCCCCCCCAGGACGGTGTGCTGGGCCGCCTCATTCCTGGCCCATGTGCCCTCATTGCCACGTGCAGGACCAGGTGAAGGACTTGTTTGCAGACACTGGAGGGGGAGGGGGGTAGAAGCTTGTAGAAGCTCTGCACACACGAAGTGCACCCAGATCCTGGAAATGGGTGAAAGCATGAAGGAGGGGATGCCCTTGACCCCACACCCTCCCCGGCCCTCCCCTGCCCAGGGGACCAGCCTGCCAGTGAGTGGGGTTTTCCCACTGGAGCAGGAACTCACAGTGTAGGCTACACCCCAGCCTCCCTGGCCGTGCTTCTCCAGTGCCTGTTGCTGGCCCTGAGTTGAGAAGGCGACAGCTCTTTCAGGGAATAGTGACCCTCCCCTCCCCTCCCCTCCCCTCCCCTCCCCCAGGACGCACTGCTGGGCCTTGCCCTTGTGTGTGAGCAGGGACAGTCAGGCTCCGTGTTCTCTTCAGGAAGAGCATCTGCCCTTGGCTTTACCCATGGCAGACGCTGGGGATGTCACCGCGCTGTCCCGCGTGGCCTCCACAGGTGGCCTTCTTCCGTGCAGAACTGTCCCACCCGTGTTCACGGAGCCCCTGACAGTGGCCAGATGCGGAGCAGCCCCGTGTGTATGGATAGAGGACCGGATCAACAGAATGTGTGTCCACATGGGGGTGTTGTTATTTGACCATAAGGACTGGCATTCTGGTACCTTCTCCAGGTCAGGGAGACTAACAGACGTGGTGCTCAGCAAGAGGAGCCTGCAGGTCCCTGGAGTGGCCTCTTCAGTCATTTCCTTTAAGACCAGTACTCACAACCCTTTTGTCTCAGCTCTTGTCACTAAGGCATCTCCTCGGGTTTAAGAATGGACTTATTTGAGGTAAACACCACAGAACTCCGCTGTTGTGAGCAGATGTCACGGGGCTGTGCGGCAGCCACCAGACAGGCTTCCTCCATCCCCGTTCCCCGGGCTCTGCCCCCATCCTGCTGCCCCTGTCCCACTGCCGCCATCCCGCAGGCGGAGGAGAGGGTGGGCCGATTATGGACTGCTGGCCTCTGTTGCAGCCCAGGCCACAGCCTCAGTGCACACCCTGCGGTTGTGTGGGCTGGTGTCGGGCTTGCGTGCTGATGCCCCCCCACCATGGGCACTCCTGGGACTAGACCCTGAGGCTGCTGTCCTGCTGTCTCCTTTCTGGTTTGTCCCCGGGTTCACAGGGCCTCCATCACCCACGGAATCACATGGTGGACCCACAGCCCTAAGTAACAGGGCCTTTTCACAGGGGATCTGGGCTTTATGGACACCTCTCTCTCTGAGGAAAACCGTGTCTGGGCTCCTTGTGGCTCCAACACGACTTCCTGCTGCAGGGCCCGGCCCACCCAGCCATGTTTGCCCAGCTCTCCACTTGCAGATGAGGCGCTGCAGGTGGGGAGGCAAAAGGTGTCGGCTGGGGCCGGGAGGGGTGTGGGGTGCAGCGTGCAGGGGGCCCCTGTGGGAGCAGGCACTTTGCAACGGCATTGTTCGCACCATGTGGAATCATGAGGCATCACAGAAGCCTCTCCTTGACCCCTTCAGTGCGTGGAGGGACTCGCAGGGGCAGGCCCTGCCTGTGTGTGCCACTGTGGGGACAGGGGTCCTTCCACCGTCCTGACCGCATGCCGGGGTAGGGATTTGCCGCCAGGGCCTTTTCCTTCCTGGCCCACAGGTCTGGCTCCTCAAGAGTGCGAGGGGTATTGAGCCACACGTGACCTGGCAGGAGAATCGCAGGGACTTCCAGGTGGCCCGAGCTCTGCACGTGGAGCTGTGGGGGCCGCGGAGGGGCTGCAGTCCTCAGACGAGGGCAGTCTGGTGCCTGCAGGGACACCTGTGGAAATACAGTGCCCAGGAATGTGGGAGCGCCTGACCTGGACTCCAGGGACAGCGGCCTAGGGAACGGTTGTGGAGTCTGGGACACAGTTCGGGGATCAGAAGACCATTGGGACCCAGGCCCTGGATGGCTGGTTGCCCCAGGAATCTGTGGGCTTCTTGTTCAGCCCTCTTTGTGGGGACCCGGCCCGGCCCGTGTCTCCAGCACACCTCTGCCCAGCAGCTCACTCATCTCTGATCCCCACGGGACCTCCCCACTCCCCACCCCCGCTGCCTCTTGCCTGTCTTTTGGGTTCTGCCTCTACTACTCACTTCTCTGTCTTGGGTTGGTTGCTCCCTGGGTGAGGTGTCCTGGCCGCCACAGGACACAGGCCAGCCTGTCCTTTGTCTGCCCGCAGGCCAGGCCTTGCCTTTTGGGCATTAGCCATGGCCATACAGGCTGACCCCGTGGCCCTTCTCGGGCGCCAAGGCCCCTCCTGCCCCAGGTGGAGGTAGGCGTGTGCTTCTGGCGGGGCGGCAGGCCCCCTTCACCGAGGAGCTGGCCGTGTGGGTGCTGCCACGGACCATAGGACACTCCTGCCATCTTGGCCCACAGCCCCCAGTGTCGTTCTGGTCCTTCCTTCCGGAGTCAGTGATGCGCTAGATTTCCCCTCAGCTCCCTTTTCCCCTCAGCTCCCTGTCTTTTTGAGTGTCTCTCTGGACTTTTTTCCCTTAATATTAATTCTTCACTTTTTGTTTGCTCACATTGTCCCAAACGTAGCCAAGAGGAGCCACTTGCAGCCAGGACCTGGGTCCTGTGTTACCGCTGGCATGGGTGTGGTCATTTCAGCTCTCCTTACTTCCTAGTGCAAGGTGCCCCAGGCTGCCCTCTGGGGAGCCCTGTCCCTTCACAGGGGCACATGGGGAGGGGCAGGCCCAGAGTAGAGGCTGGGCTTGTGGGGCCTCCAGCCAGCCGTTCACGAGTAGGCCCAGAGGCCTTGGGCCGGAGCACTTCCCCTGCCAGGTCCTCACCGCTCACCACTGCCCCCTTAGATACAGAGCTTTTCCAGCATTTCTTTTTATTTGCTTATTAGTGCACACATGTGAGTGGGGGAAGGGCAGAGGGAGAGGGTCCCAAGTAGGCTCCACACTATCCGTACACCGTGAGATTGTGACCTGAGCCAAAGTCTAGAGTTGGACGCTTTACTGAGCCGCCAGGCACCCCTCCAACATTTTTTTTAAAAGCGTATATAATCTTAAAACCGTCTCTTACTTGTGCTTCCTGATAAGGCCTCAGTTGGACATCAGAAATTCCCGTGTAAGAACTGGGGCGCCCGGGGGGCTCAGTTAAGTGTCCGACTTCAGCTCAGGTCATAATCTTGTGGTCAGTGAGTTTGAGCCCCACATCGGGCTCTGTCCTGACAGCTCGGAGCCTGGAGCTGCTTCAGATTCTGTGTCTCCCTCTTTCTCTGCCCCTCCCCTGCTCGTGTTCTGTTTCTCAAGAAAAACACTGCTCTCCCTGTTAACAGAGCATACCTAGCCGTAATCACGCACAAGTCCAGCGTCGCGTCACAGGCCAGACTTGGCTGGGTCCAGTGTGTGTGTGCACGTATGTGCACACGCATGTGCGTGCAGGGCAGCGCCTGGTGGACTGAGTGTCCCTCTCCGCTGCTGCTGAGGACGTGTGTTTGTAAAGGCACAATCTGCTGTGGGTTCCCAGAGCCACGTGGCTTCTGGGAAGGCGTCCACAGGGACGGTTTGCCTTGTCCGGTTGTTGGGGAGCGCGTGGCGGGGTGTCTGCTCTTCAGCAGCTGGTTTAGGGGTGAAAGCCTCCAAGTCATAAGTCACTGGACATGACCCACCGACCCTGACCGCGTCAGCTGTAAACCCTGTGGGAAGCACCCTGTTGACGCACGGTCAAGGGTCTGTGGCTGGCACTCGGCCGCCCTGCGGAGTGAACATCCGCTGATGGCCACTGGATGGAGCCCCACAGTCACGCCCGCGCTCCCGGGCCACAGGCCAGCTCTGGTCCCCACACGCGGTCCTGTTTCACCACCTTTCGCCTTTTGTTACGTGAGCATCTTATTTCCTCGGTTCGCATAACATGAAAGGCACAGGGGTGTGAAAGAGCCTCTTGGTAAGTGGTTTTAAAGTATTGGCAGGAGAATTGAGAATATAATAGGCGCACAGCAACTGCTTTGTGCTCAGGACTTCTGCCTCACGCACGCACGTACAGAACGAGGCAAATCATAAAAACTCTTTAAGCTGCACGTTGTTTATTAATACAGAATGGGTATGTTCAAATTATTTCATTCCTAGACTCACTTGTTCATCACTCACATGGACCAAGAGCTTGCTGTGTGCAACGCACTCTCACCTCTTGCGGGGGAGGGGGGACAACCACCACAGCGCTGCTGGGGCCCCTCGCTTCTGTGTCTGCCCTGAGGAGGTGCTCTGCGCCTCTCCCACATCTGTTCTCAGGGAAGAAGAATGTTTGCAAGACTGGTGGGGCTGTCTTCATGGCGGGGTTCGAGGCGGGGACGGCTCACAGGGTGCCCACTGCAGCGGCTGAGGGAGTGTGCGGGTGCACGGGCTGGTGGGTGTCCCCATAACTGGGGACTAAACATGGCAGGACCCGTGTCACTGGGGGACATGCCCACCTTAGGCTGAGTCCTGTGCCCTTTTCTGAGACATGTCACACACCCTGAACACACACATCCTGAGGGTTTCGAAATGGGACACTTGACATCTGGTGACCTTCATCTTCAAAAGTGCACGTGGTTCTCCCTGGATCACGCAAACTCGAGGCAGACAGTACAAGTGCCAGAATAGACATGACAGAGGAGAAGGGAGAAAGCCCTCAAATTTCCAGCTGATTTTAAACCCAAGGACTTGACTTGTAATTTAGCTTCTTAATAATTTATCCCAGGTTTATCGTTTATCACGTGCCTCCTATAAAAGAGCCGATGTCTGACTTACTGATCCGTTTGCCACAACTAACAGGAGACCTGGTTTCCCACGATAAATTTTATAATCTTTGTGAAACAAACCTAAAATTAAATTCACCTTCTAGAATCTTAAAGAAGCATGACAAGGTAGATGAGTTTTTGTGATTAGCACAAATAAGATTAATTTGAAAAATGTAATAAGGATTGATAACAAAATCAATGACCTCATAACCTAGCCTTGCACGGGGAGAGATCAGGATTGCGCAGCATGTGGGACATGCAGGGCTGCACTCCCAGGCTGCCAGCTTTCTCCTCTCGGCTTAGAACTCCTTCCGCGTCCTGGGACACGCGGGCAGAGGCTCGAGGCAGCGCTACCAGGGAGGCAGGCTTTGTCCCCCGGGGCCACCCCAGGTGAGTGCGGATGGACCAGTGCCACGTGGAGAGCAGGTTCTGTGGCACATGGGGCTGATGGCAGAGGTGCCCCCTAGGGAGCAGAGCTTGGAGGCCAAGACAGCAGCAGAGGGGTCTCCATGAGAGGCAAGGGGCTGCACCAGAGACCCAGCCTGCCACTTGTCCCTGGGGGTCCCCGTCACCGGCAGTGGGACCCACTCAGGACCCGGAAACATGCCAGGTTGCAGCCAAAGCCACTGAGAAAGTGAAAACAAGACTGTGATTTTCAGCCCCTCTTCCGTTTGGGGGAGCCCCATGGAGGTGAGGGACCCAGGCCATGGGTAGAGACAGCCTCCTGGCTCTGTGCTCTTGGGATCTCCCTCTCTCCTAGGAGCTCTTTCTAGAGCAAAGAGCAGAACAGATGAACAAGGAAAGGGTCTTTTTATTTTAAACAGCACTGCTGCCACAAACCAGCCCCCCCACTGGGTCCCATGTCCACTAAGAACTGTGCTGGTTTCCTGACCCAAGAGCCCGGCAGGGCATGGTGGACCTTGGCCTGACCCTGGCCCCTGCCCCCCCACCCACCGTGAGAGGACAGACTTCGCGGTGGTAGGCATGTTTGAGGTCAGAGGCCCCATAGCTGCAGTGCGGGAGACTCTGACTGCACCGGCCACTCGCTCAGCCAACCCCAGGCTTCCCAAGTGGAGCCACAGCCCGGGACCGCCTGCCATCATGCAGCCTCCAGCTTGAGGAGTGGGGGGGGACAGCATCGGGCCTGAGACTTGCAGGACTTGGGGACACCCTGGAGCACCTGAAGACTGGCAGCAGAGGGCACTGCGTCCCTCAGTAGAAATAGCATGTCCACAGACAGTAGCAACCCAGAAACTTCTCTACTTCTGCCCCCCGATTTACTGGCCAGGAAGTAGATGTGGCCCCACCTGTCCAGAATTTCACAGCTACCAGGGGCAGGTAGAACCTGTGCCCTGGTGTCCAGTGTATTTTCCTGTTTCTGCACAGGCAGTCACATCATCCTGGAGGGGGTATGTTCTGCAGATAGAAACATGATGGCGACTGAGTCATGGGCTGAATCTCCCAAGAGATCAGGACCAAATGGGGCGACTTCCCCAAGTGGGTTGTGGCAGAACATCGAGCCACATTCTGCTTTCCTCAGACCACATGTGTCAGAATTAAGTTTTCAGGTTGTCAAAAGTTAGTGTGTTAATATCTCTGATAAAGGACTAGTCTCCAAAATATATAAAGAACTCCCACAAGTCAGTAGCAAAATAAAATCTGATTACAGAAGATTGGAATAGACATTTCCCCAAAGAACACACACAGATGGCCCACATGGATGTGAGGAGGTGGTCGGCATCACTCATCAGAGAAACGCACATGGGAACCACAGTGGAACCCCTCACGCCTGGTAGGCTGCCGTCATCGAGAGGACAGAGCTGGCGGGGGTGTGCAGGAAAGGGCCCTCATGACCCTGATGGGAAGGCAGGCTGGTGCAGCCGGTCTAGGAGACCGTCTGGGTGTATGTGCCTCAGACGCTAAAAGCAGATCTGCCTGTGATCTAATGATCGCACTTCTGGGTATTTGCCCAAAGGAAACAAAAACCTAATTCAGAACGGCATCTGCAGCCACATTCACTGTGGCATGATTCACAGCAGACCAGACACAGAGCAGCTGAGCATAAACAAGCGGATGAAGAAGATGGGGTGTGCACGTGCATACCGTAGGATACTAGCCATGAATCGCGGTGTGAGCGATAGCACGGATGGGTCTGGGGAACACTGCGCTAAGTGGGATAAATCAGAGAAGAGGAGTCCAGTGTGACCTAATGTCTCTGGGATCCGTGAGAACAAGCATCCAAGGTCACAGAGACAGAACAGATTGGTGGCTGCCAGGGGCAGGGGGGAGAAATAGGTGGGAGTCAGAGGTAAAAACAAATAAATAAATAAATACAGGGTCCTGCCGAGCAACGACAACACAACAGCGACAATACTTCTTTTCTGGACGCACAAACCTGAAAGCAGGCAAGCTACCAAACTACCAGCCCCAGCCATTCACTTCATGACCATAGCCCCACAAGAAGGCTCGGGGTGGCGTGCAAGCTGTACTTTAAGGGATGTAGCTACTTCCAGCTTCTTTCAGCAGACAACCTAGTTTGCCTCTTCTCTGCAGTGCACACGTGTGCACAGTTAGCGTGCCACGTGTCACAGGGCACCGTGGGGCTGGGGCAGGGCCCCATAGTCACAGTCAAGTTCGTCTTTCCCCAGAAAACTGCCCCCAACCCGCTTCAGGTCAAGGCCAAGGTTGCTACTGAGTGGATTTGCTGCAAACCTGAGAAACTAATCTTCCTGTTTTCAGAGCTTTGTGGGCTTCACAGTTGGAGTTGGGGGCTGCAGGCCCGTGATGTCGGCGTGCGGGTGAGCGGATGGTGTCGAGGAGGCAAGGGGCTTCTGCTGCCACAGTTCCCGAGCAGGTGTTGACAGGACGCGGCACAGAAGGACCCAGGCCCCCCCTGCGTCTGGCGAAGCAGGCTGCCCCGGGTGCCAGACCGGCTCCGTCTTGTAGGCCTGGCTCCCGCCTGCGTGGTCCCTTCCAGCTTCTGGTTAGAAATCCTCACCGTGTTTTCCTTTGTTCGGTTTATTTATATTGTGGGGTTTGGTGCACATTTGGGGAATTGCCTTCTACCAAAAACAGTCAGCGGGTGTCACCCGTGAGTGCAGCAGGGGTGCTGGGTGTGTCTGGCAGGCAGGGAGGGCTCCTTAAGGGCTCTCCGTCTAAGGCCCGCTGCACTGCCGGCCCCGTCCTTTGTCCTTTGGAACATGTGCACATCGCCTGTGCGTGTGGCACAGCACACGCCTCTCTTCACCCCTCCTCAGGGGGTGCCCTTTTGTGTTGTTTCCTTCATTTTCATACTTTTGTGACTTCTACTAATCTCTCTTTCTAAACAAAAATAAAGAGAGAAAATCGAGTATTTTAATGGCACAGAGTATAAATACTGGATTTGGATTCTCATGACTTCATTCAGAAACCTAGGGTGGCGGAGGCTCAGCTGAGGATGCAACTGCAGGCGTGGCCCCGGAAGATGGAGCAGTGCACCCCCCTCGGGCTGAGGCAGCTATTCTTCATGCCCGGCCCCTCCTGCCATGGAAGGCACGGCCTTGGCCTGAGAGTGGTCTGTAAGGAACAGAGGAAAACTTAGAGAGAACACGCCTCGTGCCGTTCTGCGTCCTGGCCTCAGTGACATCCTGGGGAAGAGTGTGACAGAGCGACAGTGACAAAATGCTATGCGTCCAGTTTAAGTGTCAGTCACCGGTCTCCCAGGAGGGGGCCCAGGCTGTGCCTCCAGGGCGTACACTGTTGACTGCCAGTCCAATGACCGGCGGGGGGTGGGGGGGGCACCGGCGGCAGCCCTGGGACCCCGGCCCAGAGAGCGGCTGTGAATGAGCAGCTGGCTCTATGCCACCACCTGCTGCACCCCTGCCTGGTCTGGGGTGCAGCTCTGGCGCCCACAGTGCATTTTCTTTACCAGCCGCCGGAGTTTGCCGGGGAAGTTTCTGCTGATGTGGCGGTAAAGGAGCGGCGTCACGCAGCTGCTAGAGAAGGCCAGGAACCTCGAGAGGTGCTTAGCAAAGAGCAGGACCGCCAGGTGGCGCCCGTCGATGGGCCTCCCCTGCAAGGCCAGCAACGTGTGGCCCAGGAGGGTCAGGTAGTGAGGCGTCCAGAGCCCAAACTGCGTGCACACTGTGGCCACCAGAAGCCTGTGCACTGAGGGGTCCAGCCTCCCCACGTCCCGGTCGAGTGGCGTGTCCTCCTTCCGGATCCTCGAGATGAGCGCAAGCGCGTAGAGCATAGCCAGGCCAGGGACCACGTAGCCGACGAGCACCATGATAGCATCGGCGGCCTCCGTGTGCTGCATCTGGGAGCACTCAACAACGCTGGCGGCCACGTGGCTGCAGATGTAGAACAGCAGGGAGGAGAAGCTGGTGAGCAGAGCGCCACCCCACACAAAGCCACACACGTGCCTGGTGTTGTAGACGCTGGACATGTAGGTGCGTGGCAGCGCCCGCTCAATGTAGCAGTCGAGGCTGAGCAGCGCTGTGGAGTACGTGGTCACGAGTGAGGAGACATTGAACAGCACCAGCAGTGTCACGTGGGCCTCGCTGCTGAAACCCCACAGGGCCCACCCAGAGGCGGTGGGGCCCAGCAGGTGCACAGGCGCTAGGGCGCCGAGCACCAGTCCCGCCACAGCCATGTTGACAAAGTAGACATCGGGCATGGTCATGCTGCTCTGGTCGTAAAGGTTGACCAGGATGAGCAGGGCGTTGTAGCCTAGGCCAATGGGGACGCCAACCACCAGGTAGAGCAGGGAGAAGACAGACAGGACCAGGTGGAAGTGCTGGCAGAGGAGCTGGTCCTCTGTGCTGCCCGTGCCGTTGAGCGGGCCGCAGCTCCACATGGCGGCGAGCTGCAGGAGAAAGCAGCGGGAGGTTAGACGGGGTCCTCGAGCTGAATCCCGGGCCCGCAAGCTCCTCAGAGATGCTGAGGTGGCACCTTAACCTAGAGGGGCAGCAGCTAGGGACCATGGGTCTTTCTGGAAACCTCCATGCTGAGTGTGTGTGTTCTGAGGGAAGTTGCTGTCCCTGGGGCTGCCGTGAGCCCCAAGCTGGGTCAGTGAGGATGCAGGGCTGCCTTGACCCTGACGGCTGTGGCAAGCCTCCCTTAGCCTATGTTGGAGAGAGAGCTGGGCAATGGCCAGTCTGCCCGCAAACCCGCCGGGGAAGCTGTTTCCGGTAGGCTTTGCACCACCTCCTGTCCGGCTCCTCTCCACCGTTGGAACACTGCGGGGCTCCCCCACCCCGTGTCCCGGGTTCCAGTCCTGTCCCCGCCACCCGGCAGCTCTGAGCAAGTTGCGTGGCCACTGCCTCTTCAGCCTCCTTCCTGAATGGGGTTTTAGAAAATCAGGTGCCCATGGGGGCGGCTGAGGGGTTGGCCAGGGCAGCTTGTGGGCAGCACGTGGGGCTATGGTGCATATGGGCCTTCCTACCACAGGGTGGCCCTCCACAGCCTCCACACCTGCGTCTGCTGTCTGGTGGCCAGAGACCTGTCCTGTCTCCTGCCACCTGGGCTGCAGCAGCACACTGCACCTGCATCCTGGGGAGTGGTGTCGGCACACAGCTGGCGTGTGACAGGTGCGCCTTGAACGGAGCCGGGAGAGCTGGCGGCGCCAAGCCGGGCAGTGGGAGCCCCACCAAGGAAGAGTAGGGGTGGCTACCCTGGGCCAAGGTGCTCGTGCCTTGGTTTCCACTGGGCACCACGGGGCCTCCATGAGCCGTGTGGGGAGACCCCTTACGGAGCCCGGGGTTCCCTCGGAGAGGTGTGCCCCCCTCAGCCGGAGTGCAACCCAGTGGCCTGTGTTCAAGCGCTTGGGAGGCGTGGGTGTGCAGCGGGCTGGGAGGACCCACACGCGAGGAAAGAGCACTCTTCATACGTTACAGTTCTTTGGAGGAAAACCTTATACTCGAAACATAGCTCAGCCCATCCCAATCTCCTGCTCTCGGATTAATAATTCCTGTTGGACGAACATATGCAAAGCAAGCGTTCATTTCCTGGGTTTGGGGGTCGAGGGTTCAGCCAGCCCTGCTACTGTTGGTGGTGGACCTCAGCCCATGAAGGGGTTCAGGGCCCAAGCCCTGCCCACACCTGCTGCTGTGCTGCAGGCCAGAGCCTGGCGTGGGGATGAAGGGGATTGGGGAGGATGGGGGTCAGGTATGGGGATGAGGTGATCTGGTGGGGATGGGATCAGGTGGGGGGATCAGGTGGTGAACACAGATGTTTACCTACTGATCTGGCCTGACCACCGTGCCAGGTGCTGGGTCACAGCAGTGAGCCAGTGGGGCATCGGGGGTTAACCAGGAACCAAAGGGAGGTTGGGGTTCCCCACAATAGGAATGTCTGCATCGGCTGTGATGGGCGGACAGGCGGTACATGAGCTCCTATTCAGGGACATCAGGTCCGTGGGGACGTTTTGTAATTCTCATGAATGCCTCCCAACAGCCTGTCAGACGGTAGTGATGCTTGGTCTGGCCAGATTCTGCCCACACGTGCTGGTTACATCTCTTTTAGAAGTGTCCACTGTTATCCATGGCAGGGGTTAGGTCCTTAAATCTAGATCGTGCTCCCCAGCTTCTGGCCCAGGTGGGGGCTCTGCACCCCAGGAGCCGGGTCCTGAGGGGAGGCAGCGGGGGCATGGGCTGATGGCATGCTCCTGGAACACCTGTGGCTCCTGCAGGAAGCTTCGGGTCCCCAGAGAGCTGGCGGGGGAGGGGGGGCTCTTATGTCATCTGTTAGCTGATGACACAGCTGGTTTCCACTCTCCTTCCTGAGCGCATCCGGAACTGGCTGTGGAAGTTTAAGTGCCATCTCCTCTCGACCTGGGCTCCTGCACAAGGGACCACGGCTCCAGCCATAACAGGATAGTGAGCAGGAGCCCGTGGCTGCAGGGAGCTTGTCCATCAGACTTCATGGGCCTTGGGTTCCCAGGAAATACTTGCATTCTTGTGGCCACTGTGGACATTTTCCATCCTAGAGTATCCGTCCCTGCCGTGGTCAGCCCACAGGTCCAGGGGCCCGTCAGGTCTGCCTGATTTGTCCAAGGTTCTCCCTCCTCATAAGGAGACCGAGATGGGGAACCGCAGCCGCAGAAAAGGAAGGGCCTTCCGCCATCTTTAAGACAGGAGTTGACCTCACGTGGGGTATTTGCTCACTCTAGGCGCCCGGGCAGGACCCCAGGGTTCGCACTCCTGGCGTCAGGGAGCAGTCTTCCCTCCCAGGGCGAGTCTGGCACGGGGTACTTGGCACTCGCCACCCAGGGTGTCCCCACTGGCCCGGCCCCTCCCGGCCGCCTGTCCCCAGTACAGCCATAGCGGAGCCATCAGCGCACCCAGCCTCAGGCTGCTTACCTTTATTCCGAGCCCCATGTTTCTGTGTGCCTGGGCCGCAGACCCCGTCAGCGAGCAGCCAAGGACGGCGGAGCGGATCCTGTGTTCGTCTGCACCCGTACCCCCCCAACTCCCGGGAGCTTATCAGCCACAGCCCTGCAGCGCTGGCTTCCTGCGCGGGTGCGTGTGCGCACTTGGTGCCCAGTGTGGACGCACACGCTTGTTTTCCTCCAGTAAATCACTTGGTTTTTGCCTCCCTTGGCAGGCACGGTGGCCCCTCCCTATCTCTGTTTACAGCCAGTTTCACAGAACAAGGGTTGTGCCTGGAAGGGCCGACCGGCACCGTTGGATCAGGCTCCTGCCCTGTCGCTCCAGTTCAGGGAGCGCCGCTTCCTTCCTCCCTGCACCGCCAGCCTGTACTGAGTGGCGGGGCCAGTGCAACAAGGCTCATCTGGAGCCCATGTGGCCGTTCCAGACACTCAGGTTGCTGGGCTTCTGCACTGACAAGTTCGTTTTTCCTCTGGAGCAAGGAAGCTAGGTGGCCACCGAGGACAGGACATGGGTCTCGCCGAGAGTGAGAGTGACCATGGAGAGCGGCCGTGGCTGCCTGCCCTGGGGTATGGCCGACGGCTCTTTGAAGGGGCAGCAGTGGCTGAGGGGCAGGCTCAGGACTGGCAGGAAGAGAGTGGGGGGTCTTCCCAGTGTCGCTGTGGAACACAGGGCCCAGGGGCCGGCTGCCCTGTGGGACCGCGGGAAGGGCTGCTGGCGAGCGGCCGCGCTGGGCTGAGAACAGCTCCGTTCCTGGGAAAGCATCACATGGAAGACAGTCTGTTTAGAATTTCCTTCCTTGTTCACGTGCTTGTGTGGCCCTGGCTCACTTGTCCAGACTGTGTGTGCGTGTGAGCCGGCCTGATGCGTGGCCAGGGGGTGAGCGTCAGCACTGGGTCCAGCCTGAAAACAGTCCCAAGCTTCTGCTCGCCAACAGCCTATCCATACCGAATCCGGCAACTTTGTTTCGCGAGCAAGAGTCGTTTGTGGTTCCCACACACGTCAAGTACACGGGCGGCCGTGGTCCAGATGCAGACGTCAGGCCTCGTCCTTTTGCTCTGGCTACCTTCAGGGCGCCCCACAGGCGCAGCCGTCTGGCATCTGCTGAAGCTTATCCCAGTCTGTGGGAGGGTGGGGGCCCAGGCACAGGGGGACGGTGCCCCCGTCACTGAGGCTCCCGGAGGGCTGGGCGCCTGCCTCAAGACGGGCTCACCTGCACCCCGTACAGACAGAACATGGGTCCCAGGGCATGGGCACGTGGCATGGTGGACATGCACAGGAGGCCAGAACTGTTGCGTTTCATGGGTGGTGAGAGCGAGCAGGAGAGACCAGTAAGAAAAGTGTGCTCAGGTCTTGCAGCCGGTGGTGCTCATCACAATCAACATGGATAGTCCGGAGACCGTGGGCAGAGGTGCAGCCTGTCAACTCTGTACCTGGGAGCCCAGCAGATCCCTCCACACCTCCAAGCCCGCCCCCTTCCTGGCCCGCCCTTCTCTCATCCTCAGCGCCTTGCAGTGACTCCACTTCCCTTTTGTGCACCCTGGTTTTGCAAGTCCAGGAGCCCGGGAACAGAACTTCCCCTCAGGCTGTCCGGGAAGCAGGCCAACCTGGGAACAATGGTCTGGCTCCTGCCCTCCTGCACAGGCCTCAGACCACCTTTCCAGCTTGCCAGCTCTCAGTTCACTTCCTTCGGGGAAAGAGGAACTTGGGACACATCAGGGAGGCGGCCTCTCTAGGGGTGCGCAGGCCAGTGCTCAGTGGCCCCCAGTGCTTGCTCTCCACCCACTTTCATTTGGAAATCTGCCACATTCTCCCCAAATGGCAGGATCGATAATCCCAACTTTCTAGGCCCAGTCACCTGCCACATCCCCTCTCAGCTGATGGGGTCAGGGCCAGAGAGGACCCCGGTGGGCCTCTCGTCCAGGCTGGCTCTACAAACAGGCCGGTCCTGTCACCACACCTCCCTGCTAGGAACCCCGGGCCCCTCCTTGCCGGAGCTCCCTGCTTCCTCCCTGGCCCCTGGGCCTGCCCTCCTATTCCACATGCCCTGGAGCCCTTTCAAGAAGGGTCTGTTGGCAGAGATGCCTGGCCTGCTCTGCCCTTCCCACTCCCACTCCCTCGGTGCCACTCTGCCTCTCCTGGGCCTGCTTCCACCCTCCCAAAGCCACCTTCAGATTCCTTCAGGACTGACACCCCACTAGTCCACCCAGGTCCTGTGTCCATGCCCACAGCGATAGCTGTGCCCACAGGCCTGCGCCAGGAGCCCCCCGTGAACTCCTGCTCCTGCCAGCCCACTGTCCCAGCAGCTGAATGCTGGTTTCTGTCCCCAAACCTCTCCCCTCCTCCCGGGGTGGGTGTTGCAGGTTGGGGCCCCTTCCTGACCTTGCTCCACTGGGGCCGAGGAGCACAGAGGTCTGGGTCTGAGATGGGTCTGCACTCGCTTCTCTGCAGCACGGTGAGCCCAGACTGCCAGCTGGCCTGGGTCCACAGAGCAGGGTCCACAGAACGTCCCCGGCACGTTCCCGGGAATGGTGGCAGCAGGACTGCTGGGCCCCCGCCCTCTGCTCGGCCAGAAGTGGTGACAGGCCAGTGCACGGGGGCCACAGGAGTGCCCTGCGGCCGGTATCTGGGCCGGGCAAGGAAAGGGAGGCGCTCTCCAGGCCGGTGACCGCACACCTGCTGGTGGCTGTCCAGGACAATCCTGGTTAGGATTTCATCCTCGCTTTCCTGTAGAGGTGACTCACATGCCCTCTTTCTCTCCGAGATGTTTCTGTTTGTTTTGTTTTCTAATTACACTCAGAAGAAAGCCTCCACACCATAAGGGCCTAGCCAGCCTTTCAAGTGCCCACTCCCCAGCAAGGATCCAGGCCTGTGGGGCCAGCAGGTGACTGCAAGGGGGGAGGCCAGCCTGGTAGAAGCAGGCGCTGGAGCGTGCGGCGGGGCTGGCCTGGGAGGCGGCTGCACCGAGCCTCCCCCCTGCCCGGCGTGAGCCCTCAGCAAACTCCGGCCTTCACCACGAACCCTTCAGCGGCTGGGCCAGCTTGGCTGAGTGCGCGTCCAAGGGCAGGCCCCCATGCGGGCTAGAAATCACAAATGACCTGTTCATCCAGGAAACCACGCAAGGGCCCGAAGGCCAAGGGGCACACCTGAGCGAGGCCGGCCCAGCAGCAGGAAGCCTTCGGAGGGAACAGAGCTGTGCTCCGCGTTCTTGTGTGGACAGTCACCTCTGGGGCCTGGAGAGGAGAGCTGGGCCGAGGCCCCAAGGGCAGGGTTTCCTGTTCGACACCGGCATTCCATTTATGGACTTGGTGCCACGGCTTTGCTATCCGAGCCTCCCTGCGGGCTCACGGGGGAACCTGGGGCCAGCCTCTCAGGGGCCACTGTGATACCCGTAGCCACCCCTGGCAGGGCAGCGGAGGTGAGTGCTTGTCAAGGATGGAACAAGAGGCCAGTGGACGTGCGGGCGGCCGTTTTATCTGAGTGTCCACTGGGAGGCCCCATCCCCGTTTCTAGGGACTTCGTTTCCAGAGCGTGTCCTCAGCTGGGTGACAGTCGTTCCCTGCACGTGCTCTCAGGCGTAGAAGAAAAGCCGTTTACTTCAAGACAGCCTCTGGACTTCATTATTTTGCACGAAGATGCTTTCCTGGACTTGCCATTTCCAAGCCTCAGTAGCTCAGGCTGAGGGCTCCCCCGGTGAGGGGCCAGGAAGCACTCCGGCAGGGCTGGCAGCATAGCCCAGGAGCGTCACAGGGCTGTCTGCCCCCAGCCCGGGGCACGAGCAGGTGGAAATGGCCAGGCGGCTCGCAGGCCTGGAGGCCCCTGAGAGCACCCTCTGCTCTGGGCCCTGAGCCTGCCACCTCCGTAGGGGTCGCTCCTCAGATGGCCGCCAGGCCCTGCTGCGAGAGCAGGTGCGAGCCTGGGTGGCACAGTCCCCATGGCAGCGGTGGCCTAGTGTCCAGAGCAGCAGGGTGGTGGCCAGGCCTGGGTGATGGAGGGTGACAGGCGGGGACAGCACAGCGGGGCTGCAGGAAGGATCTGCGAGGCAGGAGGCACCGGTCCTCGACGCCTCTCCTTTCAGGTACCGCCCTGGCCCAACTCCTGCCCGACACGGGGGACTGTGCAGTGGGACCTCCACAGGAAAGGAGGCGGCTTACGCAGAGACTGGCACCTTGCAGTGGGGGCGCAGTCAGTGCCCATGACCTGGCTCAGCGAGTTCTCGGGACAGCCCTGTGGGACCTGCAGGGCGAGGCTCTACTTGCCCGCCGTGTGGTGCTGGTTAAGCAGATTCTACGCTGCCTCAGTTTCCCCAGCTTAGGAGATCATGGGACCTGGTGCAAGCCCACACCCCCCTCCCCAGGCACTCCGGGTGCCCAGAAAGCTGGTGCATGAAGCTGCACTCCCAAGTCGATCACCTGAGACCCGGGGAGAGGAGACCCGCCGGGAGGGAGGTGTGCATGTGAGCACCAGTCACAGACCCGGCACAGGCCGCTGGGGATAGGAGCGAGCTCACAGGCTCTGCGCTCCGGGACAGGGCTTTGGGGACTACACAGACACTAGTGTCAAACTGGGGCATAAACACGTCTTCCCTCGCCTGTGCTCACAGCGTGCAGACGAGCTGGGATGCGGGGCAGCTCCAGTCCGTTCGTTTCCAGCCTCCTCTTCACTGCTGGCACGGCCCACCCGCCAGTTAGGCTGCCTGTTAGAAGCATCTGGAGGCAGGACTTTGGTTTTCTTTCTGTGCCTTTTCAAAGAAGAGTCCAAGATGGTGAAAACCGGGCCATCAGAACTGCGTGTCTGTAAGCAACGGCGATTTGCTTTGCTCCACTCTGGGGCTGAGGGACATCGTGATCTCCATGGAGACAGACGCCAGCAGTGAGTGGGTCAGAGCAGCAGCCTTAGGTGGGAAGGGGGTGGTGGCCGCGGGGACGGGCAGGGGTCACATCTGCTGGGAGCCCTGCCTGCATGCACACAGACCCGGCTGCAAGGAAGACCCAGCAGAGGGGTCAGCCTGTTGAAAGCTAGCTGAGTTGGTCTCACTAAAACCTCACTGGCTTCCTTGCTCCATTACCAGGAAATCCTGTTCCCTGGCATGGGGCCCACCGGTGCTGGGCAGCTGCCCCCACCCCTGCCAGGGCCGGGTGGGGGTGAAGACGGCCTTTCCTCGGTTCCCTGTTCACTTGGGAAGTGCTAACTCACCCCTGAAGTTGTATTTTGGCATCACTGCCCTGCAGAGCCCTCCCTGACTGCCGTTACCCCC